TTCTGTTTTGAAAGCGCAAAAGCAAAAGAAAAGCGGGTGCACTAGGAATCAAACAGGATACCTGCTGCTTCGTCGCACACTACACAAACCACCACGCCACCAAGCCTAATCTGATTACGTGCTCCTTTCTATTTCTTTTTTTCCTTGTGCTTTTCTTTTATCATTTTTCCTTTTACATTTTCTGTTTTCCTTCTTTTCTTTTTCTTTTTTCTTTCTTCCTGGTTTAACACAAAATCAGTGAGTTTTTCTCAGACTCTCAGATTCGATGAATTTTTTTCAAACTCGATGAACATTTTTGAAAATCGATGAACTTTTTCAATCTCGATGAATGTTTTTCTCAAACTCAATGAACATTTTTTAAACTCAATGAACATTTTTGAAACTCGAAGACCATTTTTGAAACTCGATGAACTTTTTTCTCAAACTCGATGAACTTTTTTCTCAAACTTGATGAACTTTTTTCTCAAACTCGATGAACTATTTTCATATCCGTGGACTTTTCTCTCAAATTCGATGAACTTTTTTCAAACTCGATGAACTTTTTTTCAAACTCGATGAGCTATTTTCGTATCTGTGAACTTTTTTATGGAAAGTGATGCACTTGTTTTATATCTGTGAACTTTTTTCAAATTTGTGATCTTTTTTTATCAAAATTGATAAAAAAATTTACAAATCCGTGAACTTTTTGAGAATTCATGAACTTTTTTTGATCAAAATCGATGAACCTTTTTCAAAATCTGATGAACTTTTTTCAAATTTGTGAACTTTAAAAAAATGATGATTTTTTTGTTTTTTTGTGAACTTTTCTTTGAAATCCGCGACCTGTTTCAAGATCGATGATCTGTTTTTAAAATTCGCGAATTCTTTGTTCAATTTTTTGTTGCCTTTTTCCAAATAATTTGTACTACCGCAGAAACTCGGGGTCAAATAAAACTGTTTTCCTACATAACACATCAATGATATCATGGTGCAGTGGTTGAAGCCCCAAGTATGTGAGCAATGGCACGTGGGTTTGAATCCCTCGTTTACTTTTTTTTTCTGGCCGTTTGTTTTTTATCCGTTCTAGTGATGATGGAGAGTAAACAACTGATGAAGGAATTTGGCCAAGTTAATTTCTCACATTGTTTTAGAGAGGCCAATGAGGTGGCGAATACTATAGCAAAATATGCTTTTAGCTCTAGTACCTCTTGTGTTGGGGATGCTATCCCTGACTTTATTTCTTCTTCCCTTGTAAATGATCTTTCCATTATTTGAGGAATAAAGTCTCTTGATATCAAAAAAAAGAAAAAGAAAAAAGAAAACTCCCTCGTCTCAACTCTGCAGTTCTCTCTAAAAAATAAATAATCTGCAGCTATCTGTATCGTTCCTGATCCCCTTCTACTCTCCCTGTTGTATCAGACCAAAATACCAGACTTCGATCTACTTCCTTTGTATCAATATATAATTTGAACTGTAAAAAATCTTATACTAAGTGCGAGTTCGTCGGTGTGTAAATTATGCTAGCGTGGCATTTGGGTTCGTAATATAACTCTGCAAGCAAATCAGCACGGGGCACCAAGGTTAGCTGCTGGAACAGATGGCGGGAGGAGAAGATAAAGTGACTGAGATGCTTGAGCGCCTCAATCTCACAGCCGAAGAAGCAGATGCAGTCATTTTGGAGGACGAAAAGGAAGAAGATCTAGTAAGCCTGAAATGGGCACTGATTGGCAAGGTATTATGCCCAGATGTTTTACACATTCAGACAATTATGTCAGCTCTTAGGCCAGCTTGGGGTAATCCGAAAGGATTAGTTGCAAAACCAGTAGCAGAGAATACATTCATTGTTGAATTTGCTTCCCCAATAGACAAGGAAAGGGTTATAGATGGGGCTCCTTGGACAGTAGGAAAGCATGCAGTTTTACTGAATGAATTTGTTCAGACATTGAAACCATCAGAGGTGGCTTTTGACAGAATAATGTTATGGGCAAGGATAATGAACCCTCGGTTTGAACTGATGAATAAAACTTGGGGACAGTCTCTGGGGGGCAAGCTTGGTAAGGTGGAGAAATTCGATGTGGATGAACAAGGTAGAGCATGTGGTAATTGCTTACGGGTTAGAGTCTCAGTCAAGGTAGCACAACCTTTGAGGAGATGGGTCACGGCATACTCACAGAAACACCAAGCAACAGAAATATATGAGGTTAGATATGAAAGACTACCTCACTACTGTTTCTCCTGTGGCATCATTGGTCACTCCTCACTAGAATGTCCAACACCAGGAGAGAGATATAAGGATGGAAAACTACCATACAATGCTGATAGATTGTGTGTCAAAGAGGATAAAAAGAAGGGTTTTTCAGTGTCCAAATCTGGACAAAGTTCCCAGTCAAGCGGCAGAAGCTCATATTAGAAGACAAGCATGGGGACTCACTTGCCTCTCCAAAACACAATATTGGAGAAAGATGCACAGAAAGGATGGGCTTTCCTGAAGAGGTTAACTCTCCAATGAAATCAAAGGATAATTCTTACAAACAAGAGGGTAAATTGGAGGTTGGCACGTCGAGCAAGGAATTGTTTCCTGCAATGTCAAAAGATGCAAAAGTAACCGGACAAAAGAGAAAACAAGCGAAGGTGTATAGACCAAAAAAACAGGTGCATGCCTTGGGAGAGAACAAAATCTGTGAAGCTCCTAACATGGCCTTAACACTAGGTGGACAAAAAGTTGGCGATTGCGACCTCAACCCAGTGATAGCACCTTATGGTGAGGATGTTCGACTGGACTCCCACAAAAAGATGAAAATGGAACAAAGTTCCTTCCCAATTGGATCGGCGGATCAGGCGGAGGCTGCAGCAGAGCAGCCCCGCCATACGCAATGAACCTTTTATGTTGGATTTGTCGCGGTTTAGGGACGGATGCGACAGTCGGCGAGCTGCGTTGGCTCGTGAACAAACACCGTCCCTCCCTCCTCTTCTTATCCGAGACGAAGATGAGGGACTCTAGAGCTCGGAAGTTCATGTGGTCATTGGGATACACAGGCTCTTTTGCGGTAAGCAGTGATGGCTTGAGCGAGTAAATTGCTGAAAGCCACCACATTTGTGGCAAGGATACTGCAAAACCACCATCTTTGTCAAAAATCACGAGAACCCACCACTTCCATGGCAAGTGAGTAACAAAATGCACTAAACAGAAACTGAGCCGCGTCTAACAGTAGAACTGACGGGTTGGCCCCACCTGCCAGGCTGATCTGGCATGCCTATGTGGATAATACGTTGAGGTGGATGGTGGACCCACTTGTCAGCCTCCTTCCTTTAAGCTCCCCTTTTTCTTATTGCTCCTGTTCTTCTCTCTCTCTCTCTCTCTCTCTCTCTCTCTCTCTCTCTCTCTCTCTCTCTCTCTCTCTCTCTCTCTCTCGGCGAAGGTGCTAGTCCGACCATGGTCGCCGGCAGGCTGAGCGCCCCCCCTCCCCC